CCGAGGTCAAAGCAGCCGGGGACTTATGACCAAAAATGGCTTCGACAGGTCCAAAGACGCACCGAGGCTATCGGAATATAACTTCAATGTTGATGCTGCCACCATTGTATCAGCTATCGGGCGCATCAAAGATACCAAATGGCCTGACCTCTACAGTCTGATCCAACCCAAAGGGATCCTAACCATATGTGCATATATCATGGCACTTACGGTCACAAAATGGAAGATTGTCGACAGTTGAGAGAGGAAGTGGCCTGTCTATTCAACAATGGGCACCTTCAGGAGTTCTTGAGAACCGAGCCAAGAATCATTTCAGGAACAGGGATTCTAACAAACAGGCAGAACAAGAAGAACCTCAACACGTCATTAATATGATCATCGGAGGGGTTTATATCCCACAGGGGCCGATGTTGAAACGCACCAAAGTATCCATCACTAGGGAGAAACGAACTCGAGACTACATACCGGAGGGAACTTTATCTTTCAATGACGAGGATGTGGAAGGGATCGTGCAGCCCTACAATGATGCACTGGTAATATCTATACTCGTAAATAAAATTCGGGTTAAATGAGTGTTAATTATTCTAGGTAGCTCAGCCAACATCAGTCGATCAATGGTCGTGGAGCAGATAGTCTACAAGACCAAATCGTGCTTGCAGTTCGAGTTCTGAACAGATTCAACATGGCATGTGAGACCACTAAGGGTAAAATAACATTACTCGTAAACACCGTTGGGACCATCTAAGAGACTAAATTTTATGTGATTGAAGGGGACATGAGGTATAACGCTTTATTCGGGAGGCCATGGATCCACAACATGAGGGAGGTGCCCTCGACACTACACCATGCACTAAAATTCCCAAAACCTAACGGAGTTAAAACAGTCTACAGAGAACAACCGGCTATGAAGGAAATGTTCATGGTCGAGGAGGTGATACCGACATCTACAGTTTCAACATCGAAGGCCCCAAACCAGATGGTAAAAAATGGGTCCAAATAGCAATCACTAATACTATCTTCGACAGATTCAGACAAATAAAAGTAAGTCCAGGATGATGATTATGGGGCTCCAAGATCTTTTATAGCCCCCGATGATTTCGACGCCACTAAATCGACGGTCGAGGAGCTGGAATAAGTTATATTGCTAGAAAGCTTGCCCGATCGAAATGTATACCTGGGCACAGAGCTAAGCTCTGAGCTTTGGGAAAAACTTATTTAATTTCTTATAACTAACGAATATTGTTTCTCTTGGTCTTACCTCGGTATGACAGGAATCCTGCCGATGATAACCAATCACAAGCTAATTCTGGACCCAAATTTCACCCGGTTAAACAGAAGAGGAAACCCCAGTCCGAGATCAAGCATGCTTTCATCAAGGATGAGGTATCTAAACTTATTAATATAGGGTCTATTTGAGAGTTTAAATACCTGAATTGGTTAGCAAACGTAGTGGTAGTCCCTAAAAAAGGGAATAAACTAAGAATGTGTATAGACTACAAAGATTTGAATAAAGCATACCCCAAAGACTCTTTTCCTTTGGCCAACATCGACCGTATGATCGATGCCACGACCGTCCACGAGGTCCTCAATTTTCTCGATGCCTATTCCAGGTACAGCCAAATACGGATGGACCCGGGTGATCAGGAAAAAACTTCCTTCATTACTAAATACGACACATACTGTTATAATGTAATGCCGTTTGGATTAAAAAATATTGATGCTACTTACCAACGCCTAGTAAATCAGATGTTTGAGGAACAAATAGGATGGAAGTTTACATTGACGACATATTTGATAAGTCCCTGCAAGCAGAAGACCATTTAAAACATTTGCAGGAAACCTTCAGCATACTGAAGTAGTACAATATAAAGCTGAACCTAGAAAAATGTGTGTTTGGAGTTGGGTCGGGTAAGTTCCTCGGATTCATGGTATCCAATCGTGGAATCGAGATCAATCCCGATAAAATCAAAGCTATCAAAGATATCACGGTCATGGACAATGTAAAGGTCGTGCAAAGGTTAGCCGGGTGAATAGCCGCCCTGGGGCGATTTATTTCGAGGCCGTCTGACAAGAGACACCGATTCTTTGCACTATTGAAGAAGAAGAACAACTTCTCGTGTACCCTGGAATGCTAACGAACTTTGGAGGAACTCAAGAGATATTTATCGAGCCCGCCCCTGCTTTACACACCGAAGAAAGACGAACAACTATACTTGTACTTGGCGGTCTCAGAGATAGAGGTAAGTGGAGTCCTAGTTCGGGAAGAGCAAGGTACGCAATTTTCAATTTACTATGTTAGTAGGACCTTAGGTGAGGTCGAAACTAGGTACCCTCACCTTGAAAAACTAGCGCTCGCTTTGCTAAGCACCTCTAGGAAGATAAAACCGTACTTCCAATGTCACCCCAAAGGTGTCGTAATTACTTACCCGTTGAGGAACTTTATGCATAAGCCCGAACTCTCGGGCCGATTGACCAAATGAGCCATAGAAATAAGTGGGTACGATATTGAGTATCGACCTCAGACCGCCGTTAAGTCTCAAAATTTGGTAGACTTTGTGGGCGACTTTACACCGGCCCTAATACCCGAGGTCGAAAGAGAGTTATTGGTTAATTCATGAGCTTCCTCTAGAATATGGACCCTCTTCACGGACGGCGCCTCAAACGCAAAAGGGTCCGGACTTGGCATCGTACTAAATCCACCAACAGGTAATATAATTAGACAATCTATTAAGATTGTGAAATTGACTAATAACGAGGCTGAATATGAGGCCATGATTGCAGGCCTTGAACTAGCCAAGAGCTTGGGGGTAGAGGTAATCAGAGCCAAGTGCAAATCCCTCCTTGTGGTAAACCAAGTCAATGGAACATTTGAGGTTGAATGCCAAAGACACGATCTGATGATCCATCGACCTGGGGAGCTGCTGCATTCGGTTTTGTCACCATGGTCGTTCACGAAGTTGGGAATGGACATCGTTGGCCCCCTTCCGTGGGTACCTGGTAAGGTTCAATTTATATTGTTTATGACTGACTATTTTTTAAGTGGGTGGAAGCCCAGGCGTATGAGAAGGTCAAGAAGAAGAAGGTCATCGATTTCATTTGGGACCAAATCATATGCCGATTCGGAATGCTGGTCGAGATTGTATGCGATAATGTGAAACAGTTCATCAGAAGCAAAGTAACCAAATTCCTTGAAGACCACTAGATCAAAAGGATCCTAGCGACACCCTATCACCCTAGTGGGAATGGGCAAGCTGAATCTACAAACAAAACCATACTTCAAGATCTTAAAAAATGGTTAACCGACGCCAAAGGAAGATGGAAGAAAATATTACCCGAAATCCTGTAGACATACCGTACAACCTCGAAGTCCAGTACCGAGGCTATCCCGTTTTCTTTGTTTTATCGCGCCGAAGCTTTGAGTACGAGCTAGAGCTATTAGATAAAATGGGCGAAGCCGCCCTTGTCCGATTGGCTGCCCAAAAATAGCGGATCAAAAGGTATTACAATCGAAGGGCCAACCTTCGACATTTGAATACTGGGGACTTGGTACTAAGGAAGGTCACACTAAGAACCCAAAACTTGAACAAAGGAAAATTGGGGCCAAACTGGGAAGGACTGTACTAAATTGTCGAGATCACCGGAAAAGGATCCTACAAACTCGGAATAATGAACGACGAGCAACTACCGAACAACTAGAATATAACTCACTTGAAGCGATATTACTGCTAAGGTACGGCCCCGTTCTTTCTTTTATTTACATTTTAAACTAACGCTTACAGATAACCAACAAGGGATGATACGAGATTTTAGGTCTGAAAGTACGTGTTGCACTTTTTTTCCCTTGAACCGGTTTTGTCCCAAATGGGTTTTCCGGCAAGGTTTTTAATGAGGCAACCAGTAAATCGTGCTAACTTAAAGTTGAAGACCGACTACGAGCCGGTGATAATCACAACAGCATTCAAGGCCTCTCTTCTATCAACCCCGAATACTGGGGGCATTATCCTCGGATATCGATTTTAGCATAGAAAGAGATTTCAAGATTGAAGGGCCTCGATCGATAGAGTTCATTGTAAGGGACAAACGGTCAAATGAATCGTGCCCACGTAGACTGCTCGGACCCTGGGACAAATCATGTATACATGTGTAACTATTATGCGCAAAAATGAAAAGAAGTCACTTCCTTGCGCATAAACATCTTGTCCTTTAAAAGGTTTCTTACATTTCTCGAAGAATTTCCTACATATGATCCCATAAAGGTATCGAGCCCAAGGGCCACCTTAATATGAGTTCGAACAAACACTCTCACTCGGGGACTGCCGTCGAAAAACAAACTCAGACGGTCCGAGCCATCAGATCTCGGGGGCAGAAGCTTATTTGGCATTGCTTGAACTAAAGGGCTACGGTCGTGCCGGGATAACAAAACTAGAGGGCGCAAAGCTTATTTGACATTTTCCGAATTCGAAAATACTACGATTATATTTAAAAAGAAGGCTCGGAGATGTTCAAGACCCGTAACAAAAATAAGGCCTTCAAAAAATCTTCATAACCGGTTCTATAGGCTACCCTTGGCAAACTATAAAGCTAAACTACTTTGGGGAAAAGTTTTCGGTAACACAGAATCCCCAAAACAAAATAATGTTAAAGGCAAGTTTTGTTCGACCCTTCGAACATAACCTAGCTATTTCAGGCTAAGGTATTTCGATCTTTGTGAATACAAATAAAAAGGCAAAGGAAAAATTCAAAAGTTGCGAAAGAGAAAAAGCCTTATATATATNGAACGGCCTCAACAAAAAGGTGATAGAAAAAACAAAAGGCAAAAACGCCTAAAAAGATCCTAAATGTCCTAGTCTTCATCGGGGGCCATGTCATCTCCTACGAGGTCTTCGCCACCATCGGACTAACCCGAATCTTAAGACCCCTCGGAATCTTCCTCCTGGGGATAAGCCAGCTTCCTAGACTTGGCTTCATATATCTTGGCATTCTCGATTTCAGCCAATAAATCAAAATTCTGAGCATGGACTCCCTCGAGGGCATCCCTTCGGGATTTCCATTTCGCGTTCTTCACCATATTTCTCTCTTGGTCCTTGAGCCACCTCGGCATCGTCCTTGTGCCCAGCCATTCTATCATTGGCCTCAGCCCTGACCACGACAACCTCTGACTTGGCTGCCTCAAGATCCTTGGCCAGATTTTCTTGAACAGATACAATCGAGTTCAGCTGAGACTGAAGCTCCTCGATCTTTTTGGCCTGTACCGAGGTTTTTTCCTTTGCAGCCTGAAGCTGGACCTCAACTGAAGCCAACTGTGCCCGGCCAGTCTCCTTCTCCGAGGCCAGGTGATCAGTATTTTTCTTCCATTCTTTGGCCTCAGCTTTGACCGTATCCACTTCCACCTAGAGCTGCTCGATCTGGTCAAGTCTCTCTTGAACTTGCGGGTTCGGATCGTTAGCCACTGTGTCTGACTCATCATCACTAACTTCAAAAACTCTTCTTACTTGCTCGACCAGGTCGGCATGCTCCTTCTGAGCTACTTCTAGCCCAGCCTGGAGTTTCTCACTAAGAAGTTTGTAAGTATCCCTCTTCTCAGTAAGCTCCCGAGTCTCGACCTCGTGATGTTTTAACTCCTCCCGATATCTGAGAAAAGTCTCGTGATGAAGCACCGAGGCCTGCAAGCACAAAACAAAATGTTACGGTTGTTTACGACAATATCTATGTACATAATAGAGGGGCATTCGAAGTTACCCGATTTAACGCATGTTGAGCTTCGTTTAACATGCAGGGCGCTTCCAGCTCGTTCATCTTGGCTTGGTCCTCTTTGATCACCAGGCACCGAAGATAACTAGAAATCCCCATGGGGGCGGAGAGAACCCGGGCATCCTCCGGAATGGACATAATGATTGACCGCTTCCGGGTAGGATCTGCACTCGGAGCTGGGAATCAGTTTACTAATTTCGGACTTAAAGAAGATCCGCCAGCTCCAGGAGACGGTATTTTCTTTGGTACAAGTAAGTCACCCAACCCAGTTACGTACTCCGAGGTGGTAGAATCCAAGACATCGAAGAAGTGGTTAAAAGAATCTGCTTCTCCTTGGGGCCCCTCGCTGAGGTGACCTTTCAGCGCCTGAGCCTTATTTATCATAGAATCAGTAAATAAAGGCGACTTAAAGAGATCTATCACTCCGAGTGCGTCCTTCGGTACATTATCTTCTGCCCGAGAAGTACCAGCCACGGTCTCTTTGTTGACCTCCCCAGCTCGGGGCAAAACGACCTCGACCTTCCCTAGTTCGGAGGCCTCGACCACTGCCTCTTTATCGGCCCCCCTGGTTCGAGGCTGTTCGGTAACGCTTCTCATGCAGGTCACCATTTTAGAGTTTTCTTCTTCTTCTTCGGACTCATCCCTCAATCGGTAGAGGGAGTCTGATGGGAGTTCTCGGGCGCTGGTACTTTCTTTGGATCTGCGCACCAGTCGCCTCTTCGGTTTCTTCTTTTCGGAGCTCAGGGAGCTCGGAGCTTTTCTTCTTTTCTTCTCTTTATCCTTCTTCAGAGTAGGGGGCTCGGTGAAAATGTCATCATCACCGGACAGAGGCCTCATTTCAACATCTTTTGGTAAACCTGCAAAAGGAAAGTAAAACAAGTTAGAAATCGACGGCGTGAAAGTAAGGTCGAATGTAACTTAAAGAAAAACTCTCACCATGAGAACATGCCTCCCATCGGCCCTTCGAAAACTCACACCATGAGCGCTCGAAGTAAGATCTCTGTGTTGCGATACCCTCGACCCACTCCTTGAGTCGAGGAACTGCATTCAACATCCGAGCAACAGCTGCACCATCACAAAATATCGATGATAAGGGAGGAAAAAGAAAAGCGATAAAAGAAATCTTAAAGGCAAGGTTATACTTACATTTCATGTTCTATTTCTCAGGAAATGGCATATCCTCGGCAGGGATTAAATCCGAGGTCTTCACTCGAACAAATCGACCCAACCAGTATCGATCTCGATCCTCGTCGATACTTGAGAATGGGGCCTTACTGGACCGACGTGCACGCTTGATTAATCCCCCTCGATAGAGTCAGGGACTATACAAACACATAAGGTGGTCGATGGTAAAGGGACACCCCTCGAGTTTGCTCACGAAGAAGCGAAGGAGAATTACAATCCTCCAAAACGAAGGATGAATCTGCTCAAGAGTCACCTCATACCTTTTGCAAAAGGCTATAATAACTGGATCTAAAGCACCCCGCGTGAAAGGGTAAGTGTAAACACTTAAAAAGCCCTCCACGTGGGTGGTGATCGCTTCCTCGAGCGTCGAAGCCACCACGTGCTTATCGACCCAGTTGCAGTCCTCCTTGACCTTGGCGAGGACATTGTCGGTGACCGAATATATGTATCCCGAGACCAGATCGCACTGGTCCGGTATCGAGGGGGTTTTCTCATCCTTGAAATCGGCTCCGGTTGGGCACCCCGTAGGGACGAACACATTTAAAGGGGTTCCGGTGTCGGTTCCTCAGTAACAACAGGCAAAACGTTCTCATATGGTCTTGAGGAAGAAGGGTTTTATTTTTGAGGAACGGATTTTGAAGTCTTTGCCATTGCTTCTAAATAGAGGAGAAAAGAAAGTGCTGATAAAAGAGGAGGTGTGATTAGCACACAACTTATGTAAGCTTTCAAAAAACCAGAAGATGAGAGTGATGAAGTTTTCTTAAAGCACAAGAGCAAAAGTTTGAATGTAAAAGTTTTAAATGAATGGATGGAAGGGTATTTATAGTTTTCTCAAACAGCGGTTCGCATCCTGAAGTGGCCGACCGTTAACCGAAACGCATTTAATGCCTTGAAAACTGGACAAGCGGTATGTTTCAACTATTCTTATCACTTACGTCATGATTTCATCATCATGATTTATTGAAGTGAGAATCGGAGGTTCATGATTTTGTCACTTACTTCATGATATATCGAAGTGAGAATCAGTGGCTCATATTATTTCTTGTCATCTACTCTCCGAAAAATGAGGGGACTATCTGTATACAGTCGAAGTCGAGCTCAATTTCGACTTGGTAGATTAGGTTTGGAACATGGCGATCACGGACTGAAGAACGACCTCGAGTCTCACCGAGCTAGCACCCGAGGTCGGAAAACCTGCATTCGAGGAAAATTGAGTTTGATTGTAGCATCTTTGACTCGAGGGTGACCAATCTTCAAGGCCAAGATTGTTCAACCTGTGTGGTTTGCATTTACTTTTTTATCATTAATTTCAATTTGAATCTGATTTCTTATTTTGTTTCAAGTTAGATCATGTATCCTTAAAACCGCGTATAAATTCAATTGTTATCCGATTTTGAGGGTAAACAGATACTACTCCCTCTGTTTCAATTTATGTAAACCTATTTTCTTTTTAGTCCGTGTAAAAAAAATGACTTATTTCTATATTCGAAAATAATTTACATTTATGCAATGATTTATAGCCACACAAAATATATATGCCTCATTTTACATCACAAGTTCAAAAGTCTTCTCTTTTATTTTGAATCTTCGTTCCCAATCAAATAGGTTCACATAAATTGAAACGGATGGACTATAAGTTTGGGTTCACCAAATAAGACCGGTCTAAAAGTCAATTTCAATATCTGCAGGGACGATATAGGTTAAATGTTACAAAGCAAAAGAAGCAACGTGGCATTTGATTTAGCAGTATGAAATTAAATAACTCACGTTAAGGTTTTTCAATGACTGACGTCAAGATATTGGCATTCTCTTTGTTCAACTTCTGATGGAGACCAGTCACTAACCTAACAATTAATATCAATGAAACACTGGCCATAACGTCTATCTGATTGCCATTTGATGTAGTTAACCAACTATTATGCTGTGTCGGGATAATGGATGAGGTTAAAAATGTTAATCCTTTTTCATCCATTTATTTTCATTCCAAAGCAAAAATTCAACAATCTCTTGAGCAATCTCAAGAAAATATTTCTACTTTGTTGAATAGAAATAAGGAACATCAGTTGTTCATGTGTTTCATGAGTTTATCTTGTCTTTTACAACTTTTCTTCCTCCTACCAACTCTTTTCCTTTTGTCCCTGCCTAATGATTAATTCCTTCTGTACATTCTCTTATGATATATAAGGGAACTAATACTTCTCCTCCTTAGGATTTTGTCCTGATTTTCTTTTCATATTTAAATTTTATCTTTTCTTGAGGGAAGGAAAAATAATTTATCATAATTGATTTTTACTTTTCCTAAAAGGGAAGTATAGATCTCTTCCATATTTGACAGATTCTTTTTTTGGAGGAGAAGTTTTGCACTTCTATAAATTAAGGATCCCTCCTTCACGCAAGAATATAATAGCATCCATAATGTAGCCGTTTAGAGAGTTTTGTTTAGGGGGAGAATTTCTCTCAATAGAATCTTATGTTTTCTTTTCATATGTAGGCCAATTGGCCAAATCATATTTTTTATTCATATTTTAATATATCTTTCTTTGTGTCTGATTTATCGTCGTCCAAGATTTGGAACTATTAGTTTCGAATGACGCCGTATTATTTTCTATCCCAACACATCTATGTAAGTTATACTTTAGGAAGCATCCTAGCTAGTTTCAACAGTCACGTGTTGAAGCTACAGTATGTAACTGGACTTAATTAGACTAAAAATTGGTTATGAATTATATGGCTTAGAAAAGCTGTAAGGAAGTTTGTAAACTGAAAGGGAGTAAGAGCTTGTAAGGAATTGAATTGAATCAAAGACTAATTGTCTTGATTATATGTACTTATTATATAGTATTGTTGATTGATAGAGTAGAGTGATGTCTTTCACGTACAAATTGTCCAATTTATTTATACATATGGGTCAGTGTCGATGGCATCTTCTATCTTGAGAGTATTGTAATGGATCGTGGGCTTATATATATTATTTGGCTGATCCATCATGACAAAAGCCTGCTTAGTTGCCAACTCTTTTGTGTAGGAATAGAGCGTGCTAGCCATTTTCAGCTTTATAAAAAGGGAAAATGGTCAAATATGTCCTGAACTATTGAAAATAGGGTAATTATGCTATTCGTTTGTATTTGGGTATAAAATTACCCTTGTCGTTAATAAAGTGGTTCACTTTTGCCTCCCACTAACAGACTCCACATCAAGGATAATTTTGTACCAAAATACAAATAGAGGGCATAATTGCTCTATTTTTAATAGTTCATGGGCATATTTGACCATTTTCCGTATAAATAATACTTTTTTGATGAGTTGAAAATCCATGTTGGAGAAAAAGTCTTCTCTGTAAAAAAAAAAAAAAAAAAAAAGATTGAAAGGAATGTCTTGCTATATCTTTTACGTAGTAACTACTATAATGACGAGAAATCTCACCAGAAAATTCCTCCGGCCAGCTGATCACAACCTCCTGCTTCATATTTTTTTACTTATTATTTTCTTACTGGATCAAATTCGTGTGATTTGATTTTTATACACTTTGAACTCCTAAGTCCTAGCATGTAAGATAACCAAACAATACCCCATTAGAGGGACTCGAATCCGGATCTACTCAAAGGATACAATGCCATTGTTCATCATTGATGTATCCGTAATAAAATGACCTTTTACGTTGTAATATCAATTCTTAATGCAAAATCTTATTATTAGAGTACCAAGTAATTAATGGTGAAATTTTTTCCGTTTTGTCTTCCTATTTTAATTTGCAACCGCATATCAATACATCCATAAGTTACTATCACAAATTTTACTTTATATTTCTCTTATGCGGGTATTTGGGTACAAAATTGTGCCCTCTTTTTGTACACAAATACCAAACGGCGGGCATAATTGTAATATTTTTAATAGATTAAGGGCATATTTGGACTCTTTTCAACTCAGCAAAAAAATATTATTTTATACGAAAA